CATATACAAATAAACATATTGCACAAAAGCTTATACTTTTATTTCACGCCAAAGCTACACTGTTTCCATGTAAATTTGCAAAGAAGCAACACGGTCCCACTGTTAAGGGAGCGGTGCGAGAGAGACAACTGTCAGTTTATCGAACCTTGTATTATTGAATCATGAAGCTGAAATTAGTCAAGAACGTAAACCTACCGGTACGTAAACCCGAGTCAGCTGACACGATCTGTCTTACCAAAGCGCCATGTAAATGAAAACTCAACACCGCAGAATTTTTCTGTAGTTGTAGCCCGTAGCGCAGAAATCTGCGGAATTTAGATTTTTCCGTGTCAGCTGATTTCTCCTTCTTTAGATGGTTGCTACTTCGTCAGTTTTGCAGATGGTAAAAAAGTTATAAGTTCCTATTCGAAATATGTTTAAAATATTTGAAATTTACTATTAAATAAGGTTTTTGTTGAAAACTAAGTAGTTTATATTTAGTTACAATCTGTTATAGCACGAAAAATTGTGGTTGAAAGGGTAAGTTTATGAAAAGGCATTGAAGAGTGGCAACACTGTAGTAAGCAACACTGAGGGCTCCAGTAATCGACAAAATTCTGCGTATACAGACTGCGTTTAAGTATACGTTCTGCGTTCTCGACTAATTTTAGCTTGAAACTGCAGCAAATTCGGTGTTGTCATATACAAAAATTTTAAATTGTGCGCGTTATGTACATCTGAAATTCTCATTTCGTGTTGGCAATAGCTATGAAAACCATAATGAACGTACATCCCTGTCAAGGCACATTAATACAGGTAGAAGCCAAAATGACGTTGCTCTCATGAGAACCAAACCTTTAAACTTCAACTTGATTTTATTTTATTTCCTATATTTCGTTACGCTTAAAATGTCATGTCGTTTGTTTTTTTTTGAATGTTCGTTAAAACAAATTTTAATTAACATTTGCATTTTTGTAGTGTGCGGTTTATACTTAGTGTACATATGTGTTAAAAATGCAGCACCTGAAGCGTTGTTTTTTATGTGGTGTTAAATATAATGCAGACATCACTAATTTTTTTAACGTGCCTCAATGCCCTCGGCGTAAGGAGCGTTGGGAAAACAGCTGTGGGGTAGAGCTGCAGCGAAATGCCTTGCTGTGCGTTAAGCATTTTAAAGCAGCAGATTTCATAAATGCACCAGGAGGTACAGGAAAGGCACGTTTGATGCCAAGTGCTCTTCCTATGACCCTTATGCCGGAAAGTCCTTCCAACAACACTGCAACTTATAAA